TACATCCCTGACGCAAACCACGAAATCTACGTAAATACCATGGAATTCGTGCCTTCCGATGTATGCAGCAACAACTCAACCACTTAATGTCCGAAGAACCTCGGGGATTGCGCGTTAGGGTTTAGGGCTGACGCCTTCGAGACTGTCGGGGTGTAAGGACATCAGGTTTAGGGTAGAATAGTAGAAACCCTGAGTCGTTTGTCCGGGTTCTTTATATGAGTCCTAATAGTTTGGTGTTATACATAGGGCCAGGGTTTCTTAATCAGGTTCCTACGTTACAGCTTTTCGTTTAGGGTTTAGGACTAGGGCTCTATAAGGGTTATCAAGGAGCACTACCGCATTTTTGACAAAGTTCTACCTCACCTTAAGACCCTTACTTTTCGGGAGATATTGACTCTTTCCTTGCCAAGGCTAAGGGCAAGAGCCAACTTGTCAGTACAACCGGGACCCCTGAACCCTGAACCCTTCATGCGGGACGGTTTCGGGTTCAGGGTTTGGGGGATGTTTGAGGCATTGGTTTGTAGTATGTAGGCCCACGGCTCAATTTCTTACCTGCTGAAAGCTTCCATGTGGCTGAAGACTTGCAGCAGCCGCGACAATCCCGGCATGACCGCTTCATAGCCAGCAAAGTCTCTTATTTCCCGAACGCAGAGCATGCACAAAATTATGTGATAATGCATGTGAGGGTGTCCACACATGCACTGTACTGTACTGTAGTCCCGAAGGTTAAGCCGGAAACTGGACAAGTCATGCATATAAGCCGCGCAGAAACGCGTAGATGGTATCACACCGACTCAGACCTATTGGACCTCGCCTGCCTAGTCCGAGTTGTGAGAGCATAAACCTTAACCCCCCAGGTACCTACTATATAGGGCACTAGAGCCCTTAGGGCCCTATATAGTATGTACCTGGAGGTTTAGGGTAAACCGTGACCCTAAAACCCAAACCCTAAGCCCTAAACCCTAAACCCTAAAAAAGACCCTGCAAAATTGCCAAGTCCCCGCCTGGCGGCCGAGCCTGCCGCTGCAGCCGCAGCGCTCCGGGCGCTGCGACAGGCGCTGGGGGGCAAGGCCGGCAGAACTGCTCATACTCTAGGATTCGGGGTTTGGGGTGTAGGACACAAAAGGGTTTAGGATTTGAGGTTGGGTTTAGGCCCAGAGGCTCAGAAGTAAAGGTTCGCGGTCTAAAGTTCACGTTGTTTGCGTATGGCTCCAGATTTTTAAGGCTAATGAATATAACTCTACCTTGCTAAAGGGTTGAAAGAGACCTAGACCTGAAGCGCTGGTCCCACGCTCAGAGCTCAGAACCCTTCCGGCTCTCACCCTAGCAGAGCTCGGGACACCCTCGTAGAGACCCTTTCGTTCTTTCGCAAACCCTTAGTTCCCCAATACCAAACCTTTAAACTTTTTGGCTTCTTACAATTTAATAGTAATCTGAAACTTTAACATTTTTTCGGGACTTATTGGGGAAGTAAGAACCTGAACGGTTTCCAGGAGGTAGAATCTCAAATCCGAAGCCTGGTCTGTCTCAAGCAAAAAGGATGTGCAAGGACTTGTACCTCAGCCGTACCTCGAGCCGTACCCATGTAATACGGTTTAGGGTTTAGGGTTTAGGGCCATGTAAGGGCTCAAGGTAATTCGAATCAGGCCTCAAAATGGACATAGTACTACTTAGAAATAACAGTAAGTACGAAGCATAGTCATAAACATGTTCATAACCAAAGAGAACAATAACCGTAATCTTTTAGTTACAATGCTAGCCAGATCAAGATGTTGGGGCACCAAAGGGGGGCCCAGGATTGCCCGCGATCGACCAGACAGTGCGACGGTTTGATGCCCAAGGGAGCCAAATGGGGGTTTCCGAAAATAGGGGACCCTAATATAGTACCCTAAATAATAGGATCCCTATTATAAGGACCCCCAAAATAAGGTGCCCCCTATTTTCGGAAACTCCCAAATGACTTGGTTTAGGGTTTAGGGTTTAGGGTTTAAATGACTTTATCGACCAGGGCTCGGACGAAGACAGTCTTCCTGGCAGAGTCGTAGCCTGCCACTGGTCAGTCTTTGGGTCGTTCAACCATCTAAGCCTTCTAAGCTTGACCCAGGAGTAAGTAGAAGAGTGAGTGAAACCTTTTGGGCGTGTAAGAGTCGGTATATAATGCCACAGGATAACGTTTTGGTTCTCCGAGTCTGCCACTCCATACCCGAGGCATTTCGAGGCTAGTTTTGAGGATTTACATAAACTACCTCGAAACGTGACATCACACGGAAACCTACCTAGCAAGCTCCGAGGCCTGTAAAGTGTTTTCTGTATGGGGCATCCAGACCCTGCTGGACCTTCTGAGCGTTTTGCACAAGGGGTCGCAGGTTTAGCATTTGGGACCGACGGTTCGATTTACATGATTTCTGGATTACGGTTTGGTTTATATGGGGGTTTCCGAAAATAGGGGGCCCTAATATAGCACCCTAAATAGTAGGATCCTTATTATAAGGGCCCCAAAATAAGGTACCCCCTTATTTCGGAAGCTCCCAAATGATTTCTGGAGTGTTTTGCCTTCGAGTTGTGATTCAAGGCTTTATGGTTCAGGTCTTCAGGGGTTTATGGGCCCTTTTTTGGTCTGTATGAGGGGTCTTTGATGAGCTCTTCAGGGTTCCTTAAGAACGATTTACCATGATCTGCATGTTTGGGGTTTGGAGTCTGGGGATCTTCTGCAACACACCATCAGGCACTGGCGGCGTCGCCGGTGCTACTCCACAGTGTTGCTGCTTGCTGTCGGGAGCGGGTGCGGGGAGCCTTTTTGAAGTTTCGGGATTTTGCCCGGCGGCTTGTTGCGGAGATGTTCGGGTCGAGAGTTCTCGGCTTTCGGATGGTTTTTGTTTGGGATTCAGAGTCGTAGGAGGTACCGGGAGCCCCGAGTGGAACGAAGGCAAGCGAGGCTTCAGCTGTGCCGCAGGTCCCTACGGCTCTAAGCCGATGTCCCTTCAGGTGTGTGTGCCGGCCCACTAAAGCTCCATACTAGGAAGAGCAGTAACGGCTAGGCCACTGCGAGATATCCTGGGTTGAAGAGTTATCGGAGTCTTAAGAGACAAAACCGGAAAGCTTTGAGCGGAGGAGCGGTTGTTGAGTCACGCCGCCGAGATTGAGGTGGCAGCTGTTGTGGCGGCCACTTGGCCGGCAGGGTTTCAGCTGGAGGAACTACCTGTAGTCTCCATTGTAGTTCCTTTTTGGAGATACCTTATAGAATCCTTAATATATACTTGGTTAATAAACCAAAAAGGAACTACAATGGAGACTATAGGTAGTCCAGGTTTGGTGTTCAGGAAAGGATATTTCCAGTCTATTGGCAATGACGGCAGTCGTTCTGGTACTGGCTATTGTTCTTGTGGTTAAACGATTATTGGATATTGCTATGATCACCGGGTTACCATTACAGTATCGTGGTTATTGCTATGATCATCATGATTTTGGCAGTCGTGGTGACAACATAGTAGTCGTAGTGGTACTACTTGCTGGTACTCAAACTCGTTCTCATCGTCGTCACCATCAACGTCGTCGTTGTCGTCGTAGTAGCAGCCGAGCTACAGCTGCTGCTAATGCTGCTGCTGATGCTGCTGCTACTACTACCGCTACCACCACTACTACAGCTAGTACCAGTGCTTGGTTTAGTGGGTGTCGACGGGGTCGATGGACAGCATCCGCAAACTCGGGCTGTTCAGGAATCCTGCCAGTGCGAGGCTGCAGAACCGCTCATTCAGGGTCAGAACTCTTTCAGGCCTCATGTTTGAGGAAGAGCCGGGCCCCACAACAAGCCCGAACCCCCAAGCCCGAGGGGGCTTGTTGCGGAGAACTTTGGGGCGCATCGCCTAAACGACTGATCTCCAGCCATCTGAACCCGGAGCCCCCAAGGAACCCAGAGCCCCAAGGAACCCGGAGCCCCAATGCGCCCCAGACAGCAACGAATCCGAAGTTCGAAGCGTCGACTGCCTCCCGGAATACCTGTTAACATATTGTCACAGATCATGCTGTGATATGGCTGTAGTACATGATATTGTAGTACAAATATATAACACAGTGTAATATAACATAAGATTGCAGCATGAAAGAGTATACGTTAACTCAAGAAAACGGACATATCAGAAGAAGTGTTGCAACCACAACCGCAAGACACACCCAGACTGACACTAAGTCCCTTTCAAGTCCAACCTTCCATACTCAGAGACTCCAAAACCCCTTAATTAAGGAATATACTTCTACCTTAAATCGTATTAGGGTTCCCATTATAGTAATTTAAGGTAAATTCCTTAATTAAAGGGTTTTGGAGCTTTGGAGTCTCTGGGTACTCATCTACAGGCACACCAAGCCTGCAACAGATGGGTCTGAACTCGTCAGAAGATCCCTCCTAAGACCAAAGTAGTGATTGTACATTTTTACACGTTCATTCCGATTTAATTAGATGTTGGATAGAGAATACAGAAAAGATGCGAAAGAACCCTAGACTAGAAACAGTGCAGACTAATTCTGAAGGCCCCTGTATCATATCAGTTCCCAAACACACGCCCTAAAAACCTAAACCGTATTCCGTGGATCAAACTCAAGCATAAGTTTCACATCAAGCGGACTAAGCACCAAGAACCTCGCCTCGTATGTCTGAGAGTGATCCCGAAACCTGAAGCCCTAAGCCAGTAATATAGGGGCTTGAAGAATTAAAATAGGGTTTGGGGTACATTGTACTATAACTAACTATAATAAGGAACCCCCAGAACCCTATTCTAATTAGTAAGGCCCCGATGTTATGGCACCTACTCTGAGGTCCTTGAGCAAGTGGCCGTCGCAAGGCCTGGCATGGACGCCTCAGAACGGGCTTTGTAGACTTATATGGGGGAGTTTCCGAAAATAAGAGGTTCCTTATTATGGGGATCCCTATAATAAGGACCCCATTTTTTACGGTACTATATTTGGGCCGTCTATTTTCGGAAACCCCCCGCCAATTAGGCTTTGGGGATTTGGGGTTGGAAGGCTTGCGAGGCTTAGCTTTGGATGTTCCCGACTGGAACCAGTCTCAAGCTGAACCGGACATTCTGAACCCTAAAACCCTAAACCCTAGACCCCTAAACCTCAAACCCTAAACCCCTAAACCGTAGCCATTTTGGCTCAAGGCCTAACACACCGTTGAAGAGATCTCAAGGTGAATTGACGTTTGACAAAGAGGAGAGGATGGCGAACCCCTTCGGCTTTCTGTTAGCGAACCAGTTGTCCTTTAGGTTCTCGATGAAGTCCCTGCTCCTCTTCCTCATCATCATGGACGGGAAGACGGCCATGGCCGTCATCCCGTCCTGGAACGAGTGCCTCGGGCACCAGGTGGTCCTGACCAACAGGATTGGGAACCTGTTGACCACCCTCATGGCCGACGAGGTCTGGGCCGAGAGCGTCGGGACCTCGTCCCGGGCGACCAGGGCCACCATCTTGAGCTTGGTGGCATGCATCGCCTTGCCCGAGGACCCCCGAGATCGACGGGAGCCAGATGGCGCTGAGGTTCCTCTCGAAGATGCCCGCGAGGGCGAAGGAGGCCTCGTTGCTGGTCGCCGTCGGCTCGTTCGGCGCGGGCTTGCCCGACATGATCCTGAGGGCCAGGTGCGCCAACCCGGGCTTGAGGGGCGACGGCATGAAGACCCCCGCCGGCTGGGTCGCGATGGCCCTGATCTGCTCCGAGACGGCCCAGGCGAAGTGGTCGATGGCGGCCCGCAGCCTCGTCGAGGGGATCGACAGGACCTTCCGGGAGCAGGTGGTGGTCGACACGAGGACGCGCTGCAGGGGACCTGGCAGGCCCCCATGTTCGAGACCAAGTGGACCGACCAGTACTGCTTCAAAGTCGAGCAGGAGCCGACGTTGTTGATCCCGGCGGGCGACGCCGGCCACGGGCGCCAAGCCCAACAGGGCCTGGTTCGAGGCCCAGTGCGACCGCCTCTTGGCGGCCATGGACGCCGTGACGGCGGGCGCCCAGAAGCATGAGCGTGTTGTCAGGATTCGAGATGTTGTGGGAGATCTGGCTAAATCAGAGTGCATCAGTGGCCTTGTGCTTGCGTTGACTAAGTCCGTTTCAGTCTTCTGAGTACTGCGTGTCCATGATTTGAAATTAAGAAGACAGTGAACGGGAGGCTCACTCAGCACAGCAGGCATCCGCCAGATGCTGGATGCCTACCGAACCCTAACCCCCTTTCCACTGCTCCGCGAGCCTGCCGTCCCTACAACCTGGGTGGAACAATCGTTCTTCGTCGTTGCCTATCGGTCGTCATTGTCTCGTGCTCTTGTCTAGTTTGAGTTTCTTTGTAACTTCCCCCCTCAGCCTCTGCCCCTTTTGTTCCCCAAACAGCTTTAGCTGAAGGGTTCTTGATTTGCTTAATAGAAAAGGATTCTNNCTCTAAAAACCGCTACTCATTTGTCTCCCATTTGTCTCCCACTTGCTGTTTGGGGTCGAGGCTGGTATAATTTTGTTGCCTATTTCGGGCTCCGAGGGAAGTGCAGGTACCAAGAGCCCGGGCTCTTCGAACTGGCAGCGCGCCAGGCGGCCTTCATTTGGGTTCTGGGATGTTTAGGGTTTATGTGACTTATGCAGGCTTATGTTGTCAACTTGCAGCTGCCAGGCTCAGCCCTTCAGGTCCCAGGAAGGCAAGGCACCATGTGTGTCGGGTCAAGTATCTGAATATAGGATAGTTGTGCAGATTCTTTATAGTCAAGGTCGAGGAGTACTTGCTTTGGTTGTGCAACTTTTCGGGCCGAGCTAGGATCAAGCTCGGTGTCGCGATGCGGCAGGCACGGATCACACAGGTCTCTGAGCTGGCAGCCTGCCCCTAAAAACTTTAAACGTAGTGGCTGAGTAGGTAACCTTTAACCTTTTGGGGCTCTTTTAAACCTACTATAACTCAAAAGGTTAACTTTATTTTGAGCTAGGGTATTCAGCCCCTAAGTAAATGTTCAATACTCGCGAGATTTCTGCAGTCCCCAACCGACACCGCATTGGAGCTCGAAACATCTCAAAGTCCAAGCATGGAGCCCAAGACGTAGGCTAGGACAAGCTGGTTCTGAATCCAGATTCAAAGACGGGAGGCCCAAAATGCGGGGCCATTGAACCAGTTTTAGAATCCTATGGTGGTTACGGGTATAGGGAGTTTTGTTATAGATCCCAGACACTTAGGACAGCCCTTACTCCGCAACATGCCCTAAACCCTAAACCCTAGACCCCTAAACCCCTAAACCCCTAAAACCTAAACCTTAAACCCTAAACCCTAGCCCTACCCGAAAGCCGCCGGTCTCTTGCAGGCCATGCACAGTCTGAATCCATGCGGGTCTGCCGCCTTTGCAGCGTCCGTGCGGCCCGGGGCCTGTGGTCTGAACAGGGTTTAGGGTTTAGGGGTGACTAATATATTAGCCTAAATAGTTACTAGTACTATATTTGGGGTTCCCTTATTATAACTATGGTAAAATATGAAACTGAACCCTATT